CTTCCTTTTTACAATGGTGTAACTCTCTCCCCTGGATTCCAAAAGCTTTGATTATACTCCTATCATAGCGCTTGGCACAGTATTTGTAATTACCGGGTTGCAGGTGTGTCTCTATAGAGCTATGACAATCTTTCATGGAAAAGTTGTTTACCAGTCATTCGTTTTATATTGCCAGAGCCTAACACCAAGTAAGATTTTAGATATCAAATGAATTAATGGATAAACCTGAATAAATGCACTGGGTCATGAGAAAAGTTAAGATGTATTTTTCTATGCAAAAAATGCATCGTGACTTTTCCGATACCCAATATTTAGGGTATTTATGTATTTATTAAGAGAGATTTTTGCTCTAGGCTGTGTGCGCTTGCTGGAGAGACAGAGAGAAACAGAGAGACAGAAAGCGAGAAATCATTGCCCTCTTGGGGGGGGGGGAGGGAGGATGGCCATGCCACAATTCCTTCTCCTCCATTGTCCTCTTGGGATTTTTGGCACACACACACACACACACACACACACACACACACATACACATATGCTCGGTGTGAGTCCAAGCCACTGGCTCTGGGACTCGAACCACGATCGCTACATGGGAAGTCTAGCCTACGTAACCATTACACTATCTGCTAGTCCCCTAGGGGTACATATTGAGTAGGATGCTACCTTGGCTCTGTAATTGTCATCTCCAATAATAAAGACTGGAGCCACATTAGAGCCAGAAACACACGAGGAGCTAACAGAACCGGAGGGTCCCCATTCACACCCCTGCAATAAGTCACTAAGCAGAACTGCTTCAATTCGGATCATTACAAAAACGAGTTTTTGTTAGAACCAACAGAGAAAATTACAGGTGTGCAAACAAATCAGGCTTGTCGAAATCAAATGATTTCCGGAAGAGCTTCACAGGAGCTGTCTCAACAGTGTGTCCCCAGACATGTGACGTTTTCCTGGCTAAGTGAAAAATCAAAGGGACTCCTCGAGTTCATTTTCCTTTATGTTTCTCACACCTTATCCTGCACTAAGCAGCCAGAGTAGAGGGTTCGAAATTTGGTGAGCTTGACATTTTCTTTGTCCACAAGGTGGGGAAATAGGAGGAATTTTAAAAACGTCTTTATTATTTTATTCATTCTAGAGACCAATTCTTCCAGGAGTTACTGTGAAAAAGGGCAGGCTGGGGGACCAGCAGTTAGCGTAATGGCTATGTCCCTGAACTCCCATGTAGTAGACCGCGGTTCGAGTCCCGGACCCAGTGGCTTAAACTCACAACAGGCGTGTGTGCGTCTGTGCGCAAGATCCTGAGAGGAGAATGGAGGAGAAGGGATTGCGGTGTGGCCATCCCTCCGGGGGGGTGATTTCTTGCTTTCTATCTCTCTATCTCTCTCTGTCTTTCTAGTAAGCACACACACCCTATAGCAAAAACTTTTCTCTCTCAAAAAAAAAAAAAAAAAAAAAGCAGGATGCATTATTATGGGAGGTTTTTAATGTTTTGTCTGTAAGTTTTTGGCAGCCATGCATAGAGACGTAGGCAGAGTGATCTGCCTATAATATAATTCGCTAAAATCAGCAAATGAATAGACGGCTTTGCCAACATGAATGAGCTGGTGGTTTGCTGCTCTCTTGCTGATGAAGCTCCATGGTCAGCTCCTTCCCTACTGGGCCCCTGGTGAGAGCTTGGGCAGGTTGAGGTCAGGGCCGGCGGGCTCTGCTCAGGTGGGTTGGGCTTACATGGCTTCCACATGGCCTCGTAGACATTTTCATATTGGGGTTTTCCACTATTGGATCGCCTACATTGTATAAGTCAGTGGCCTTCAGACTTCTGATCCACATTAAGAAACACATTTTCCATCAGAACCCAGTACACACATTAATGAAAAGTTGCATGAGATACCATGAGTTCCATAGACTATGTTGGCCTATGCTGGCTGTGATGACTTGGGCAGGGTATTAACTTTTTTTAGAGAGAGATTTTTGCTATAGGGCACATGCACTTGCCGGAGAGACAGAGACAGAAAGACAGAAAGCAAGAAATCATCCCTTGGGGGGATGGCCATGTCACAATCCCTTCTCTGTTCTCTACTTTTGGGCATGCATGCACATGTGCCTGGTGTGAGTTTAAAGCCACTCAGTCCAGGAATTGAACCATAGTTAACTATGTGGGAGTACAACAACATAACCATGACACCATCTGCAGGTCCCTCTAATGTCTTTTAACTTCAGTTTTCTCATCTGTAAGTTGAGAATATAAATACCTAGCTCAGCAATATTTTTAGAATTATTTATTTAATTTTATTTATCATTATTTTTCTTATATTTTTAAAATAGTATTTATTTAATTAAATGAATTAACTAATTCATTTTTAATTTGACCAGAGAGAGAGAGAGAAGGAAAGTGAGAAAGCAAGCCACAGGCCCAGGACTCAAACCATGGTCAGCCATGTGGAAGTCCAGCACCTAACCACCATACCACCTGCCAGTCCCTATTATTACTTAAGAATTTTCTATATGGCATGTGCTCTCACCAGAGAGAGACATAGAGAGAGGGAGAGAGGAAAAGTGAGAAAACAAGCAGCTAGGTCTGGGACTCGAACAGCAGTCGGCCATGTGGGAGTCCATCGCCTTAGCCACCCTACCGCCTGCTGGCCCTAGTTCAGTATTTCTGCTGGGATCACATGTAACTCACATGAAGGCTGGGTGGTGGCTCGGCGGTAAAATGCAATGCCAAGCCATGCCACGTGGGGAGGTCCCGGATTCCCTGAGTACTCTGGGCATGTGTGTACACAGTGTCAGGACTGGCTGACCCTGGAGGGAGATGGCAGCGTTGAGACCCGGCCAGTACTGTCTCTCGGTCTCTCTCTCTCTCTCTCTCTTTTTTCTTTATGAAAGAAATAAATAAACTTTCTTTTTTTTTTTTTTTTAAGGTTTTTGCCATAGGGTGCACATACTTGCTAGTGAGAGACAAAGAGAGAAAGAGAGAGGGAAAGTGAGAAATCACCACCCTCTGGTGTTGACTGTGCTGCAGTCCCTTCTACTCCATTCTCCTCCTGGGATTTTGGGCAAGCACGCACACACGCCCAGTGTGAGTTTCTGACTACCAGTTCTGCGACTCGAACTGTGGTCAGCCGTGCGGGAGTCCAGTGCCTTAACCACCACACACCTGCTGGCCCCATCCAATAAACAAACTAACTTTAAAAACATGTAATTAGCACAAAGCACCCAGCACCAGGCATGGCAAATAAATATTTTTCTTTTCAATGTAAGAAGTACTTGAATAATTTATATTCTAGCAGACTTGTTTTAGGTTCAACCTAAAACATTTTATTTTTCTGTAAAAAACTTATTTTTATGAGTTTTTTTTTTTTTAGGAGGCAATAACTTGAAGCTCAAGAAAATTAAGGTCACTTAAAGACTTTAAACTTTGGAATAATTAAAATCATTCTAGTTTTAGCTGTCCAAATGTACTCTTTCTGAGTATATTAGCTATTCTTTAAGTCATTTACAGAAAAAACTCATATTCTTCATTACCAAGATTGGATTGTTAAGTGCCTCAGGGTACAGGAACAAAAAAAAAAGGCACTAATTGAAGTGAATAAAATAGAAAATTGAAGTATTATGTATAAGAGGAAATCTAGTTCTTTCAAATACATAGCGTCCTTCAGATGTGTTCTACAGTGAATGCAGATTCAGAAGGATAGGTATGTTTCATCAGGCAGAATTACAGACTCAATATTTGGAAGCAAGCAGGGAATTTCTGAGTGGTTTCTTTTGTGTGAGTCTGATACAAGTTGCAATCGGAGACTCAGAGACACCGGGAGTCATTTTCTACACCTCAGCTCCCACTTTCGGGTAGGGATTATTTGACCTGACCTGGAAAGATAAGTGGGTCTTTCTTTTATTTTCATAATGCTGCAACAGAATTAGGCATTCAAAACCCAAATTGGAACATTATAGTAGGCCCAGCCAGGTGGTGCAGCGGCTGGCAAAGTGAACTGCAGAGCTGGAAGCCACGTGGCTGACCCTGAGTTCAGATCTCTGGGCTGGACTAAAACCACATGAGGAGTATGCATGGTCACCCAAGATGCCAACAAGCTTCAAGGCCAAGGAAAGGGATTGCAGCGTGATGAGAGCATATTGAAGTTCTCTCTCTCTCTTATGCATGTTCTCTCTATTATGAAAACAATTATTTTTCTTTTTTTTTTTTTTAAGAGATTTTAATAAAATGTAAAGTATAACCGATTCTTTCAAAATAAGCACAGTTGAGGCTGGTGGGTGGCGTGGTGGTTAGGGTGCTGGAGTCCCACATGGTGGACTGTGGTTCAAGTCCTGGACCTGCTAGTTTGTTTTCTCACTTTCCCTTTCTCTCTCTCTCTCTCTCTCTCTGATCACATTAAAAACAAAACAAAACAAAACAAAAACAATAATGATAAATACAATTAAATAAGCCATTATTTAAAAAATACACACAGTTTTCACTGGGCTCATTACAATCTCTGAACTAAATAAGAGTCATATAGCATTTTAGTACTTTCAAAGTGCCTTCACATTTTCCATTTGATCCTTACAGCAATCCAGGGAATTCGGTAGAGTAAATATTATCATCTTCATTGCAAGAGGCGGAAACTGAGTTTCAGAGCATTTAAACTACTTGACTGAGAATTCCAAAGCATGAAAGTTTTCACATCCCAAGCTGGTGCTCTTTCCATTGTTTTACCTTTAAGAGAACCTGATGAGCTTGTTCCGTTTTGTCATCACATAGACCCACAGAGTCACAGAGTGGGGATCTATTCTACACCTTTTGGCCATGAATGAGAGATGAAATAAATGCAGTGACATCTTTCAAATGTGCGATCGGGGCGTGGCTCGAAAAGTATCAGCCGAGAAGGTACCTGGGCTGTCTCCCACAGTAGGTTCTTGTGAATCGAGCTGATTGACTGATAGGCCAATTTGGGAAAACATCAGGTCAACGGAGAAAAGTAAAGACACCTTCGATCGGTCTAAGTCCTTACCTTGTACGGGGAGCCAGGTCAGCAGGCTGCAAAGGCCCCACCACATACTGTGCTGGGCTGCTGTGAGCTGCTGTCGACTTCCTGTAGACGCTGAGATCAATGGGGTCCTGCAGATTCGTTTGAAGCAGGAGAGGTGACAACTCTGTGGCCTTGTATGTGTTGACTCCTCCATCTGCTCTGGGAGCCCCCTTTTAGGCAGCTGCCCCCAAAACACCTCCCGGTGGAACATTTCGGGGACCACACGTGTCATCTTGATCGTGGAAAGGTGTGAGTGATGTAGGTATTGGTGACAGAAATTGTTCTCACCACAAGTGGGTCGTACTGGGAAGTCGACCAAGGGCAACGCTTTCAGGGGGAGGAAGGATAAGAGAGAAATTAAAATGTCCCTGGAGTGACGTCATCCTTAGTTTGACTTTTCTAGTTTATTGTCTTTTACTTAAATGATTTTTAATCAGCTCTGGTGAGTACTTTCTACGTGTAACTCTGGCAACAATTTCTAATGGCTAGTAGGGAGGAAATCATTCATGTACTCACTCATTTTGGAAATTTGTATATCGATCTGCCCACACATCTGTCCATCCGTCCGTCTCTCCCCCTATCCAGTCATTTGGAATGTGCTCTAAGACATGATCCGTTTTGGGGGGAAATGTGATCTTTTGGTGAGACAATATCCAAATGAACAATTTGGGTATTTATTTCTCATTAACTGGACAAACGGAGATAGACTATTCTATTTTTCCAGGGACACACAGAAAAATACTAGAAGACTTATGTTTAGAAATGAGAGGTCAGTCTATGATGTATGGAAAACTGTAAAGAAAATTCTAGAGCCCAACAAGTGGTTAAGGCACTGGACTCCCACATGGCTGACTACAATTTGAGTCCTGGACCTGGAGGCATGAAAATCACACTGGGCACCCATGTGTGCGTGTACCCAAAATCCTGGGAGGAGAATGGAGGAGAAAGGATTGCAGCTTGGCCATCCCCCTGGGGGATGATTTCTCATTTTCTTTCTCACTGTTTCTCTCTGTCTCTCTCCAGTGAGCACATGGTTCCTGTGACAAAAAAAATCTAAAAAAAAAAAATCTATTTATTGATTCTAATCAAAATTAATATTAGTATTCTGTAAATGTACTAATAGTTTAAATAGGGAAAATTTTACCCACTGAAATGTATTTCAAGTATTTTACCTAGTTTAACAAGTAGAAAGAGAATGAGGAGAGAAAATAGGGCCGTCTTAGGGAGTGTGTATCGCATAGTGCAGTATTTGTCAAACTGTATGATGAGATCAGTAACTTGGGCCTCTAGCTAAAAAGTACAGATGGTGAGAGTCCACCCCAGGTAGACTAAGTCAGAATCTCTCTGGAATTAGAACCACCTGTATACTTAACAAGCTCTTCAGATATCATAAGGCAGGGAAAGTTTTTTTGCATTGTATCATATTTTTTTTTTACAGGTTTTTATTGATTTATTGAGAGAAAAAGAAAGAGAGAGCAGGTCAAGCAAAGCCAGGAGGATCTTTATGCCACGACCCACCCTCAGTCCTAGGCCCCCAGGTCACAGGCCTGCATGCTTGCCTGACATGTACAGGGAGACCTCAGGATGCCAACCTGGGACCTTCCAACGTGGCTTCTCCATGGTGGGGAGCTGGGTTACTGCTGCAGCACCGCAGCTGGCCTGGTGGTTCTCTTTAGCACCTGGCTTCCTATGCCCTTGATAACGCTCCAGGACACTGGGCATAACAGCTCCTCGAGCCTGCTGTGGAGGGTGTGAAGTACCCAGTCGTAGCCCTCATTTCTGCCTGTAAGAATGCTACTTCCAAGAGTGTGGTTGGGACCTCATGGGGCAGCATGGCTGGATACAAGTGCTGGGAGATTTTTCCAGATCTTGAGATTATCATCTAACATGGATGGATGCACGAGGAAGTTAAAAAAATCACTTTTATAATAAACAAAAGTCAAAGTGTCATCATGGGACTTCTCACTTTAAGTTAGGCCATTGGGAAAGTCATGATGTGTTTTTCTAGGCAAGAACGTGTCATGACTTTCCTGAGGACCCAATAGATAAATATGAAACAAACTCTGCTTCAGGGAGCTTAGAATCTAGGAAGGGAGACAGATGGATATTCCATTAGTTATAATATAAATTAGTACAGCTGTTCAAAAAATATCTTTATCAAGATGTACTGACCATATACACTTAAAGTGTGTGACATGATACATTTTGACATATGAATACACCCATGACATCATTATTACAGTCACAATAGTGAACACATCTACAATATTTGTGGCCTTCCAAAATTCATATGTTGAAACTTTATCTTCAGTGTGATAGTATTAAGAGGTGGGACCTTTGTGAGGGGATGAGGTAATGAGGGCCAAGAATGAGTGCTCTTACAAAAGTGGCTTGAGAAAGTTTCTTAGCCTTTGCCCTTCCACTATGTGAGAACAAAGCAAGAGGTCACCGCGAGGAAAGGCCTCGCCAGACACTGAATCTGCTGGTGACTTGGCCTGGACTTCCCAGCCTCCAGAACTGTGAGCAATAGATTTTGTTGTTTATAAATTACCCAGTCTAAGCCATTTTTCTCTAGCAGTGTAAGTGGACTAAGACAATATCTATCACTCCCCAAAGCTTCCTCTTGCTTGCTGTAATCTTCCATTTCCCTGCCCACATCTTCTCTTCAGCAACCACTGATCTGCTTTCTGTCACTATAGATTAGTTTTTATTTTCTAGAGTTTTATATGAATGGAATCATCCAGTGTGTATGTGTGTGTGTGTATATTTGTCTGGCTTCTTTCACTTGGTATAATAATTTTGAGATTCATCTATAGTGTAGCATATGTTGAAAGTTCATTTTTCTTTTTTATTTTTTTAGAGAAGTTTTTGCTATAGGGCATGTGTGCTCACCAGAAAGACAGAGACAGAGAGACAGAAAGCAAGAAATCACCCCCCAGGGGGGATGGTCACGCTGCAATCCCTTCTCCTCCATTCTCCTTTCGGGATCTTAGGCATGCATGCACACATACTCGGTGTGAGTTTAAGCCACCGGGTCCGGGACTCTAACAGTGGTAGACCACATGGGAGTCCAGCAATATAGCCATTATGCCAACTGCTGGTCCCCATTCTTCTTTTTTTTTTTTTTGGTAGACAAACAAACTTTATTTTAAGCTGCTGAGTTTTCTTTTAAGAATTATTTATTTATTATTATTATTATTTTAAAATTTTCTGCAGGGCAAAAGTACTCACCAGAGAGAGACAGAGAGACACACAGAGAGAGAGAGAGAGAGACAGAGAAGGAAAACAAGAAAGCAAGCTGCTAGGTCCAGGACTCAGACTCTAATCAGCCATGTGGGAGTCTAGCTCTTTAACTACCACACCACCTGATGGCCCTGCCCCTGGTTTTCAACCCTAGCTGCTCATTAAGATAACCTGAAGTGGGGTCAGCAGGTAGGGTGGTGGTTAAAGTGCTAGATACCCACTTGGTTGCCTATGGTTTGAGTCCCAGACCTGGCAGCTTGAAAATCATGCTGGGCATGTGTGCATGCATGCCCCAAATCCCAGAAGAATGGAGGAGAAGGGATTGGGGCAAGGCCATCCCCCAGGGGGTGATTTCTCACTTTCCCTCTCACTGTCTCTCTGTCTCTCAGCACAAATGAATGTGCCTTATGGCAAAAATATTAAAATAAATAAATGAATGAATAAACAAATAAATAGATAACCTGAAAGGCTTAGAAAAATATAGACGCTCTACTCCTCTCCCCCAGGTATTTTGATTTTAGTGATCCTAAACAGAGCTAAGATTTCATACTTTTAAGAGTCTCCTGCTCTACCTACTGAGCTAGCTGGGCACAGATTTCAGTACTTATAAAAAGCCTTCCAAGTGATTCATCCCATAATCCAGTGAAAAACTATTTTCTTCTTCTTCTTTTTTTTTTTTAATATTTTTCTTATAGGGCAAGTGTGTTTACCAGAAGGACAGAGAGAGAGAGAGAGACAGAGAGAAAGAAAGTGAGAAATCAACCCCCTGGGGGATGGCCACGCTGCAATACCTTCTCTTCCATTGTCTTCCCAGGATGTGGGGCATGTACGCACACACGCCTGGCATGTTTCAAGGCACCGGGTCCAGGACTCGAACACAGTTGGCCACATGGGAGTCCAGTGTCTTACCCACTATACTACCTGCTGGCCCCCTTCTTCTTCTTCTTTTGACCTTTATAAGAATTGGATATATGCAGAAAATTGATTGACATAAACATCACTAACAGCGGTTCCTCCGATCTGCTGAGAAATGAATAAGCAGGAAAAGAGTTGTAGGCATCCGAGGTACAGAGAAGAAAAAAGAATGTGCATGTATTTACACCTTTGGCGATAGCTATTCTGCAAATTGAATATATGCACTTAGATGATGCAGCATGTAGCCCTGCCTTGAATGGAATCTCTAAGTAAGGAGATGTTTTGATTATAGAGAACAGACAAGTTTATTCCTCTTTATTGCTGAATAGCTTGCCTTTTTTTTAAACCACTGTTTCCTTTCTCCCTTCATCTCTAAATGGGCTGGTGAGTAATTTCTCTCAAAGTTTTTCTTTTCCTTTCCTTTTTTTTTCTTTAAAATGTTTTTGCTCTAGTGCATGTGTGCTAGGCAGACAGAGAGAGTGGGAGAGAGAAAGTGAGAAGTCACTTCTAGTGAGGGCATGGCCATGCCACAATCCCTCCTCCAATCTCCTCTTGAGATTTTGGGCACGCACGCACATGCACCTAGCATGAGTTTTCAAGCCACCAAGTCCAGGACTTGAACCTCGCTACTCATCATTTGGGATCCAGAGCCTTAATCTCCATGCCACCTGCTGGTTCCCCTTAGTGTAATTTTTAATCATCACTTAGTAAATGAAATCAGTTGTAGGAGAACTTTAAATAAAGGGAATTTGGTATGTTCCCATGTTTGCTTTTAACAATAATCTATTTCAGAGAAGAGGTTTAAGGTGAGCAGGGATCATTTAAATGCTGGCCCTTAGTTGGCACTTGGGGTGTATGTCTGGTGTGCCACCCAGAGTCCCCATCAACACTGAGGCATTGGGAAGGAAGGACATGGCGCCCAGATTCCCCTTCTGGCAGCTGGCCTCACTGGAAGAGAACCAGCTCACCCAAGGCCACATCTTCTCCACG